TACTAATTGCAAATAAACATAGTTATTAAAGCAAATAATAATATTTAGCGATAAAACATTGATTCTCTAAACTTTTTAAATTAAAGGGGCAATATTATGTGTTTCTCAGGCATATATTTAAATACTATACTATAATAAAGTAACTATGTTACCTTCAGTTATGAAAATGCTGCATATATCAAAAATAAATTTGACATCTTATCATAGTCTATCTAAACACCTTGAAATTGGCTTCAGTCTCTTTAAGTACCTCATACTACTTTYAAACACTGTGGGGTGGGAGCCCAGCTGCAGACTGAGCTCCAGGGAGGAGCTTTGTAGAAATAGGCGGTGCTTTGTACTGCATAAATGAGTCAAAGCAACACTCTGGGTATGTTTTTGATGAGGAAATTATATTAATATAATATAAAGCTAAAAAAAAAGTCAACTTTGCATAATATCCCATTTAAATGTGTTGAATGATTTGTCTTTTGTGAAAGTTTGTTTGGCCAGTGACAAATTAAATTTTGCTTCTTCTAATCTTTCAAAAGCACCGAAGAGCTATTTTAAATTAGCTCACAAGCTGCTGGTTGGAGACCCCTGATGTAGAGTGTTTAGAGAGCAACCTCAGAGTGCAGTATATGTCAAAAACACTTATTATAAGAGAAGTTGTGTGTCTAGTCTAAAATATTAGTATATAAATAACATGGTTGATTGGTAGACGAGGCATGGTTACATGGTTGTTCGGCTTTCRTTTTCACATGCACCTTTCAWAGCCCCACTGTGCAGAGCTCCTGGGAAACCCCTCCTGCTGTGGTATATGTCACTGCACAGGGTTTCTTCCCACTGGAATCTTTTTTTTTTTTTGTGCAAAAAATGCTTATACCGATGGTTTAAGTATTAAAATTAATGTTGCAAAACATAGCTCTTTTCATTTTGTGAAAGTAGCTCTTAAGGAAAAAAAGGCTGGAGACCCCTGCTCTACATCTTATGCTTATAAAAATACTGTAGCTTATCTTACTGCAGTGTGGTCCTCTTCTTTATATCCAGATGTATATACAACTAATTAGAAAAAAGGCTAAGGCTAACATGACATAAGCAATTCTTAAGCTGTTGTATGTTCTGTTTTTCTTACTCGTCAATCCACTAAATACTCAACATGTAAMAAGAACACATTGTAAACATTCCATACATCAGATCCATCATAAGATGACACTTCATAAAATGTTCACATTTATAGCCACAAATAGGACATTTTTGGACTTGAAAAATAAGAAACAATGTGATAGAGGCTGTGCAGTGACAAATAAAGCAAGTGTGTAGTTTTTTTTAATGACCATCTTTACCAAAGGCAGACTGCTGGGAATGGGCAACAGCTCTCCACAACACTGCATAGAACATCATGTTTACAATTCTGTTTTTTAATGGTGTTTACTGAAAAGCTGATTTTATTTGCGTGAATCTCTGAATTAGTATTGACATTTAGGAAGAGCCTCTTCTGATTGTTTATTACCAATTAGAAAGTGCAGGTTTGTCTAACAGCGAGCAGACTTCTGTGCTACATACAGTAATCACCTCTATCTCAGATCACAGCCCTGCGGGAGGCATATGATGGCCTGTGTGTCAGCAGAGGGACCACTGCCGTTCCTTACTTCCTAATGAAATACACCGATGACACCATTCACATGGCTCCACTTGAGGAATGGGAGACATTTTTCACAGATACTGAAAAGGTTGTTACACGGAGACATTATTCTTATTAATTATTCTTGAAATATTATGTTGTGGTGTGTTTGTGTGTCTTTGTGCCAATATATTACCAGTTTAATTAAAAAAATGTAATACGTTTTCAAAGAATTGTGTACTTTTATTGATTGTTTATTGGTTTTAATTTATTTTTATTATTTGTTTGTACTTAGTTATTAGAAGACCTTTACCCAATAACTTCAAATTCAACTTTTCATGTTGTTTTATTGGATTATCTGTTTTTTGTATACACAAAAGCAGACACTCATTTGGTAGACTAAACACACCCTGTGTTTTTTTTTTCCAGGTTACTGTGGGCGTTTACGATCCGTGCACTCTATCTCAACATCCTGGCTGGCCTTTGAGAAATCTTTTGGTCCTCTTGGCTACACAGTGGTAAATAAAAACTCTGTGGGGTTTTTGAGTCCATGCAGGGACAGGATGAGGAAGTTCTTTACTCGTGCTGTAATTTATCGTTGTGAAGTACTGAATTTCACAAGCACACTGGGTTTGATGAATTAATTTGCCTGATTTTCTGCTCCATGTTAGTTTAGTCATCTACAGGAAGACAAGAATTATCTGCTTGACAAATTTCCAGATTGTGACGTGTTGCTTTGTGTTGTTCAAAAAAAAAAAAGAAAACTATATATATATATATATATAAAGAAAACTCTGACTGCAAAAGGAACAGTTTGGCTGCTGGTTACTCATAAATTTCACTTCAGTAAACCATCTCTGCTCATTTTCCAAGCTGACTGACTCAAGCTGTTGCAGAAACAGCGATGGTGCCTGTGAGCCCACACACTTTTTATTTTAGCTAAACAACTTTTACTGATATATTTACAGAGAAAATATTTGGGCGCAGCAGTGGGAAGTTGGTGCAAGTTGTTCGTTAAAGCTCAAACATRAGTCCTGGGCAGAGCACTTTCAAATATTTACTCTAGGGTCAAGAACAGATGGCAGGTAATAAAGGCATCAATTGTAAAATTATAGTTAAGTGTTCATCATATGAGACACAGAAGCTTTTTTGTGAAGACTTTGTCAAAAATCTATAAACTGTTGTTGGTCATTCATTGCTGCAACTTTACTTCTTTTCAACCATTCAGTATTCTTATAATCACACAGAGCCTATTGATATCAGCATTTGATGTAGTGCCTAAACTTTGTTATTGCCTAAAGTTAAATTTCCCATCCAGGTAAATTTAACAGCAGAGCCATGTCATAGCTGTGGCTCATCTGAATACAATATATTTTGTGTGAGGAGCTGTTATTTCTGTGACTAAAGTTCTCCTGACTCAGATTGAATGGATTAGATGAGTGAAAGTGGAATTTAATAGCAGTCATGATGGATCGCTTAGTCAGCTRCTTAAAAAGGTTTTGTGTTTTGTGTGTGTGTGTGTTTGTGTGTGATTTGAGTTGGAATTTTTAGTACCATATTAGGAGAACAGTGATGGTACTTGGCTTCACTCCTCTGAGTAAATTTTGATTAAGTGTGGGTAATAATGAACTGTATGTTTTATTTCATTTTTGTTAAATGATGTTTGAAACAAGTCACATTTTATCCAAAAGTACACTACTGTGTGTTAAAATTGTTTGTGTTTGTACTAAGGGGCTCTAAGCTGGATGTGGTGGAAGTGCTGTGCTTTAGGGACAGAACTCTGCAGGGGAGCCGCTCCATTCAACACAGCCTCATCTTCCAAGTCAAGCTACCTGAACTTCCCAGCACCTCAGGTGATCTCTGCTTCTTGGTGCACCACACACAGTTTTAATACGTCTGTCTCCGCACGTCCACACGTTTGGTTTTGTTAACCTGAATGTGKGTCTGTAAATTTGTGTGAATTTGTCTATATTGTTGATATGATATGAACAGAGTTTTAGGCCACTTACCTTTGAGAATGTCTGCTTCCATTATCCTCACAAAGCTTAGCTGGTTTTCTTTTGTCTGTCAAGTTGGGAAAAGAAAACAATTTAAATGTTAATAGCAGCAGAAGAAAGCAGGCTGCATGGTAATCTGTAAAGGTTTTTGTCCAGTTTAAGACTTTTTTTTTGTCCGTATTCCCTGTCAGCAAATCGTGGCTATTAATTAAGTCACAGTGAATGTATTCAAAAACTAAACCAGTTTTTCTGATAACATAGACATTTATTGTTGTTTTGAAGAGGATTAACCAAACCACCTTGGGCATACTTTTAATATGCATGGAGATTAGCATTGCCACTATTTAAAGCTTAAAAATGAAATAAAAAATAAGTATATACACCATTATTACATTGATTAAATTTCTAAGTTTACACATCCTATTAAAAAAAGAATAAAAAAATTGAGGTTCTGTTTTCAAATTACCCACTTATTTGTTTTGCGCTGCAAGAAAAAGTTTAATTTATTCACAGAAACAAATTACATGTATCAGATTTCATTTCAACAATTATTATTTAAATGTAAAGTGTTTCTTTAATTATGAAGTCTCTTATTTCATAAAATAAAAATATTTTTTATATTTGGAATTTAAAAGTTTGCATTGGGTGTTTTCTGCTTAAATAAATCCATTTTTGTTCTATCCTTTTTTATTGTTTACTGTAAATAAACTTGATGAGAAGAGGTAACCGTTGTAGCAACATGATTTAAATGACGGTTTGAAAACTATTGCCTGTCCCTTTTTAGCTGCAAAGTTGACTCTTTAAATGCATTTTATTTTAGTGTGTCCTAAAAGTGTTGGTTGGGAGAAGAACCCAAAGGGAGCCTTGGGTCCCAGGATGGTCAACCTGAGTGAATGTATGGACCCTAAAAGGTAAAAATTTAAAGTAAAAATATAAGAAAGTAACTTCACCTGGTAAAGATCTCTTACCAATGTTCAGACTAAATATTTGGTCATCTCTGTTTGCTGTTTGCAGGCTTGCAGAATCATCAGTTGACCTGAACCTTAAGCTGATGAGATGGAGACTGGTTCCTTCATTAGACTTGGACAAAGTTGTCAACACCAAGTGTCTTCTTCTGGGGGCTGGGACCCTCGGCTGTAATGTGGCCAGGACTCTCATGGTAAGGTTGGATTAATGAATAAAAAAGATGATGTGATGAAATCCACTTCTAAAAATTCATTGGAGTCTCAGTATTTCAAACCAAATGACTTTCTGGGACTGATGTACAAAATTCACGTTCTTCTTGCTGAATGTTTTAGCACACTGCATCACCAAGGCTAAACTTATTGGTGTGCCAACAAGGGTGTTGTTTAATGGTTCCCTGTTTCCATCCATCCATCCATCCATCCATCCATCCATCCATCCATCCATCCATCCATCCATCCATCCATCCATCCATCCATCGTCTTTACCCACTTCTTAAAACAAAATCAAATTATTTTTGTGGCAGGACATTTTCTTCTCATAGAGTGACTTTAAAAAAAGATTTTATGCAGCACAAAATAAATGAGAACTGCACCAACTTTTCATTTTGCAGCATATTTTCTGAAGCTTCTGACAAAGTCCTTTCTTTACTTCGTGGACATTCTGGAAAATGGAGTTGAAGTGCCTCCAATCATTGTACTTAAAGAAGACCGATATTTGTTTGTTGTTCTCCAGGGATGGGGAGTGAGACGTATCACGTTTGTCGATAATGCAAAGATCTCGTACTCCAATCCAGTTCGACAGCCGCTTTATGAGTTTGAGGACTGCCTCGGAGGAGGAAAATCCAAAGCTCCTGCAGCCGTTGACCGTCTTACCAAAATCTTCCCTGGTGTGGTAAGTCCAGTAATAATGTTTTATCTCTGGACTACATTACAAAAGCCACAATTATCTTTTCTTAATGGAAGATCAGACACTCCTTTCCTTGTAATCTTTGTCTTTTAACAAAATTGTAATTTATTCTTTTAAGTTTAGAAATAAAATGGTTTTATTTAGCATTTAACTCCTCTGCAGGAACTTGATTTGATTTGATTTATTTATTTAACAGGAAAAGATTATTAAAAATCAAGCCTGACTCAGCATACTTGCTGTTTTACAGCAGGTACCTGTTCTGCAGCACATAAAACACTCAGAATTACAGCATCACAATCACATCATTATACACCATAGACACAAAGACAAACAAGCATACCAAATTTCAGGAAGGCAGCATTTGCAAAATAAGAAGTCTAAATATGAGCACAACAAAAAGTGTCCAGCAGATGGCAGACAAGATTCTTCTTAAAGGGCTGTAGTTTTGAAATGGACTTTATGTTTTGAGGAATGTCATTCCATGCTTTAGTATAAACATAGAAGAAAGACCTCTGGCCGTAACAGTTTTTAAAAGTTGGTAATATCAGTAGTCCTTTTGTAACAGATCTAGTTGAATGACCACTTCCAGAATTTGATTTGGGCARCAATGCACAGAGAGTTCCATAATTGGCACCTTGGAAGATCTGAAAATATAAAAATTAATACCACTATACAAAACATAATTCTGAAAAGTCAAGGCATCAGACAATGAAAGAACTGTACAGTGATGAGTCCAACCAGGAAGTTTTTTATGAATTTTGTAAGCCCTGTTGTAGAGCCTAACTATGGGTTCTAAAACTTACTTTAACTTTTGCAGATGCATAAAACTGGACTGATACGGCAGTAATGTATTTCTCTTTGAATGGTCATATCTCAGATGTGAAAGCCAAAATGTGGAGAAAATGAGAAACCGTGCTCTCTGCATGTTAATGCTGCGGGTTTCATTACTTTTCTAATTAATGAGCGGGCTCTCTCAGAAAGATATTTTGTTAGATTAACAAATGAAAAAGCAGCCAATCACTCAAAGCATGATTCAGATATGGTATTATTCAGCTCGCTCATTATTAATCCGCTTGGAATTGCATCGATTGAGTGAGTATTTGCGATTTCAGTTGTGTGTGTACAGCTGTGCACGTTAATTGGTCATAGTTGTATAGTAGTGATATGAGACTGTGAATATAGTGCATTACTGCTGGTCATACGTCTTGATTGAACAATTTAATCTGACCCATTCTGGTACATTTCACATGGCCTTCTGTTACTAATTGCAAATAAACATAGTTATTAAAGCAAATAATAATATTTAGCGATAAAACATTGATTCTCTAAACTTTTTAAATTAAAGGGGCAATATCATGTAAAATCAACTTTTTTGAGTTTTAAATCATGTTATAATGTTATACTCTCATAAAAAAAACATGCCCAAAGCCTTGCTCTGACTCATTCATGCATGTTTGATAAATCCTGCAGCGTTTTTAGGCAGCCATGCTGAGGAGCAAAATGACAGGTGGGGACCAGAAACGCCTTTTGGTAACAGAAACGCCTCTGGGTTGTGTCCTTTTGGGCCAATCTCCTCCTCTGGGATGTGTCTTTAAGCTGGACTTCCTCATGGCAGACCCCCCCGCCCCAACTTTTCAAAGTTGTCCTTTATATCAAAATGTCTATTTTAGTTAAAACTTAGGGATTGTTCTTTTAATGACACAGGTGAGAGAAAAATCTCACAGCTAACAAGAGGTGATGGCTTCTAAAAAGTGCACCTTCATACAAATATCTCTCATGTCATCCTGCTCATATTGAAGGGTGTTTTTTCAGTTCTTTTTATTTTTTCCTCCTTTTCTTCTTGGTAGGAAATAGAAACTGATGGATGGGGCTGTGCTATTATTAGATGAACAACTGCATCCACGTTATCCCTTTTTGTCAATGTCAGTGTATTCCTGCTGGTCTTTTATTTCCAGGTTGCTGTTTTTTACAAACACAGGAGCATCAGGTGCAACAGACATCGAGGTGCCATAATTGAAGTGAGAGAATGTGGATCAAAAGGGGTCATAATGCTATAAAAGGTCAACGAATTTCACATTTTGTCTACGGACAAATCAAGTCACCCAATATTTCAAGTTAGCTGGTTGTGTTGGCACCAACAGCCCCCCCTCTTTTTCACGTGTAAACAAGATCTAAGATCTAACTGTGACATCAAAGGAGTCGGGTGAAAYGCGTTCCTTCATGAAACACTAGCTCTTTAATTTGATTAAAGAGTTTTCTACAAGCTGAGATTTTGTTTTTCCTTTCTTGGCTGCAGGTTATGTATGTTTGTTGTGGTAATTGGAATGTGATTGCCATCCACAGTGTGAACTCACTCCCCTGACTGCTTAGCAACACTTGCGTCAAAGTTAAATGTAAATTCAAGACTTAGTTAACAGCTCCCACTCTTCAAGTATGCTGAATGAAGGCAGAGCATCCACTGATTCAGTAAAATGCTACACTTCCTCTTATTAAAATCTTGCACTTCATTTTTTTGCTCTTTTCTGTCCTTGGTTTGAAATTACTCTTGACATTTCCATTTTCCTCACTGTCGCATATCCAGATCCTGCAGATAGATGTAATTTAACATTTTCTGTAGATAAGAAACGGGACTGAGACCTAAGTGAGCTTGTTTTACTCATTTAAAAAATGTGATTTCAAGGCAGATTTTTATTATTTCTATGTGAGAGCTTGATCCACTGTGGTTCATATTTATCACCTGCTGCTGAAGATGTAGCACGGCGATTGTGCTTTATCCCCTGACTTGTGTTTTCTTGTATTTGTTTGTCGGTACTTTTAGTAAAAAAATTAATTTGCCACTTAGATTTTAATTAAACTTTCAGAGATTACGGTATTTATTCAAGTGTAATACTTAAAATTAAATCCATAAAATCATCCATAAAGTTGGGGGGTAGTACTATACTCGGATAAATATTTTTACTTATGTATTTTAACTGAAATATCGGCTTCATTCACAAAATACCCGAGTCCGGAAATGAGACTGCATCATAAAAAGCAGTTGAAACAAGCTTACTTCTGACACTCCTCCGTACTTCAGAGTGAGAAAATAACAGATCCAGGCAGGTGACATAATGTGAAAAAAGGGGGAAAAAGTATTCCTGCACCTTAGTAATAATAGCGAACTAATGACATTAGCGTGTAACCGGGCCTCTCCTCGAACAACACCAAACACGTTCTTCTGTAATGGCTGCCGTCTACCGGTGTTCTGAAAAAGTTTGTATCCTTGAAAAAACATTCCCCCACCAGAGGGGACGCCTGCGAGTAGGAAGTAATCTGCTTTTCCCACACAAGACGGCCCAAATCTCATGTGAAGTCTTTGACTTTTGTGTTGGCGCCTCCTGGTGGACTATGTGTAAAATGCCAGAATTCATATGATGCTGCTACAGCTGATACACAGTATATTTTTTGTCAAAATACCTTTTAGTACAAATGTTGTTAAAATAAAATGAACAGTCCAATTTTCTTTTTACTGATATGTATAAAGACTGCAAAGGCTGAAAAATCTTGAAGTCTGTATGAAATTGGAGGTAGTTTGAGGATTTAATTTTTTATGATTTTTAAGCTAAATAAGGGGGGGGTCACATTATACCTGAGATTGTATGATACACGAATAAATACGGTAATTACTTGTACATTTAAAGCTGATTAAGATGGCTACCACAGCTAATTGAAATTAACCAACACAAAAATGGGTATAACTCCCTCAGTTTCACAGATATTGAGCTACATTTTGTGTGGTAGTAGCTGATAGTCATCCACATTATGTAGGAGTGCCAAAACCTCTTGTGAGGWCTCACAATATAGTATGACATGGCACATAAAGTTGTTTACAAGTTTTGAGCAAAACATCTTTCACAAGCTCTTAGTTTGAAACGTTTGCTTGAAAGGCAACAGGCAGTAAAGGAATGCTAGGCCTTAAATTCTTTTCATGGTTTTAGAAACATCAGTCAGCAGCAGAAAAATAAAACGACTGATTTGGTTCAAGATTTTCATTTTTATTTCCAATATTTGAACCAGACTACACAGAATTGAAACAGGCAGTGCTGTTGGTGTCCAGACTAAATCTCCAACATATTTCAAAGTTCTCAAGGACTTCCTTACACTTAAAAATTCACGAGTTTTAGTTGTGTTATAGTTTATTTTTTTACCACACAATAAAATTAATTGAAAAAGGCATCTGGCTCTGGCAAGAGTGAAGGTTCTCAAAGTAAGTGAACATTCCCCATGTTGTCTTCAATGACTATTTTTGTATTGTTGCATTTTTTCATTTTGCATATGCATACATTTTACACAGAATAACCACTCTCCATTACAGCTAAAAATAATAAATCAAAATTTCTGCTCAGCCAAGCTGTCACTGAAGCCTGTATTGTCCGAGACCCAAGCCTAACAGGGTCACTGATTACAAGTGGTGTATTTCCACAGAATACTTCTTTAATGTAGGTTATCAAGGACACGAGCTCAATTTCAGTTTCTTGTTATTATTATTTTTTTGCCTTTAATAACAATTTCTCTCTCTCTCTTTTCSTTTGCTTGCAGAATGCAGAGGGTTATAACATGAGCATCCCAATGCCCGGCCACCCAGTGAATTTTTCCCAGGCTACTCTTTCGCAGGCCCAGAAAGACGTGGAGCAGCTGGAGAAGCTCATTTCAGAGCACGACGTTGTGTTTCTGCTCATGGATACGAGAGAGAGCCGCTGGCTGCCTACAGTGATCGCTGCCAGCAAGAGAAAGGTAGGAAGGGCCGGCGCAACGTGCGCTGCGAACGCTCGCCAATAGAGTTGGGGTGCAATTAAAGTTCCACTTTTGATCTTTTACATCCAGACAATGACTGCTATAATGACATGCAATGTAAAAAGGAGACACCTGCAGTGAAGTATGCCCAGCGAATTATCATAATGCTTTGTGAACCCTTTTTTTAGCCACTTTTCACTCATTAGTTGGTATTGTATATAAGCTAYGTGCTACCCTTTCACAGCTCTYGTCACAGGAAACAGCTGTTTTCAGCTAAAAGCTCTGATGAATGCAGTGTTCTGCACCAAACATCAGATCAACAAATGTAGCCATGTRGTGGTCAAACATCAAGCGTACACTGTCCTCCTTTGCCTCAGTRTGATTGTTGGTGAATGAGTACAATACAGTACACATATACTGTAAAGCAGGGATGGGCAACGGGCAGCCTTAGGGCAGTTTAATTACATTTGGGTAGGTGTGCAGCGCTATTTGGCCCTGTGGTAGCATCAACAAAAAATTGTTAAGTTGTCCATCCCTGCTGTAAAGAGTGCATCTATACTAGGGCTGGGCGATTATTTAATCGCGATTACCGATCGAGAAAAAGTTCAGGTCGATCACGGTGATCAGCTGTGAGCCTCTTACTCGATCAAACATGGCGGAAATGTGTGCGACAACAGCCAATCAGAATCCACCTTCTCCTGCTCCACTTCTGTTTATAAGTTACTAATGAAATGTGGACGGAATCGCAGAATTAACCAAAGTAATCAGTATAAAACACTGAATCTCACAGAGTTTGCTTATTTGGGTGAGTTTCTGAGGTATTTTGGCCGCTGTCGCTTCCTGTACCTGCTG